TAAGTTCCCAAAGAAAAAAAAGAAGAAAAATAAGTGTAATCTTCAGCGAATCCCTAGGGAGGTTGAGCGGGTGGTTGACCCCTAAAAACCACGAAGTTCCCAAAAAGAAAAAAGAAGAAAAATAAGTGTAGTCTTCGGCGAAGCCCTGGGGAGGTTGAGCGGGCGTTTGACCCCCAAAAACGATTAAGTTCCCAAAGAAAAAAAAGAAGAAAAATAAGTGTAATCTTCNTTCGGCGAAGCCCTGGGGAGGTTGAGCGGGCGTTTGACCCCCAAAAACGATTAAGTTCCCAAAGAAAAAAAAGAAGAAAAATAAGTGTAATCTTCGGCGAATCCCTGGGCGGTTGAGCGGGTGGTCGACCCTTAAAAACCACTAACTTCCCAAAGAAAAAAAAGAAGAAAAATAAGTGTCATCTTCGGCGAAGCCCTGGGGAGGTTGAGTGGGTGATGGACCCCCCAAAACGACTAAGTTCCCAAAGCAGTATAGGTATGAGGATGAGAGATGGTCATAGTGTTAGTGCTACCTACGCACTGAATCTTCTTTAAAAATTTAGTGAATATTTACAAGGCCATTAACCATCTCTCGGTTGGGGGGAAGGGTATGGCAGGGCACAGGCGCCCTGCCATACCCTTCCCCCCCCCCCTCCCACGTGACAGACTGCATGGCCACCAGAATTAATACCCTCGTAGCGCGCAACACAGCAACTCTACAACTCCGGTGGTTCCATATGGACGGTGTGCATTTGTTGGAGGTGGAAGGTATAAGCAACGCGACGTTGATAATACTTAACGAGCTTCCCTGCAGAGAGGATTTTCGAGCCGCGCTCACGACGTTCATGACAGAGAACGGTTGTCATCCTCCATCTGATGACCAAGTGATACACACTAGAACACACTTGACTATCGCCTGAACATACGACGAGACGCACAGAGGCGCAGGCGTTCAAACGGCAAGAGCTTCACCACAGTTCCACGGGAGAGCCGTGCACAACGATGTTGCAGTGAGAGGTGGGAATGACAACATATGGTATGCATCAGTAGCCATGTTTTTCGTCATGAACACTTGCACAGAGGGTGTTGCGAAGATGCACAGGTGTTGTTTTGTGCAATGGTACAATCGGTGGATAGTGAAAGGGAACACACAACAGGTTGTCAGAAGTTGCAATGGGAGAAGGTAAACGGTCCATCAGCACAGTAGCGTCATAACGATTGACACCATCATCGAGACCGTTCACATTGTTCCTCGTTTTTGTAAACCACAGTGGGGCTCGAAGAAGCATGCAAAAGAGAGGGAGGATAATTTTTTGTTGAATAGATATATACTCTAGAAGTGTACATGGAATTACACAAAAAAAAAACAACCAAAATTTGAAAGGCTGAACGTTTTTCCGCGAATAATCTGTGTGGGCGCAGTCGCAATTTTATGCGACAACATGCGTTCAACTTTTGTAATTCTTTTACACAAAGAGATAGATAGATAGATCGATAGATAGATAGATAGATAGATAGATAGATAGATAGAGAGAGAGAGAGAGAAGCGTTTGAATGACGATAATTATTTTGTAAAGATGGAGATCAAACATCGGTAGATTTTTCAAGCGGCGAGACAGTATTTTAGACCGACACTATAATGCAAGATGGAACAACACGGTTGTGAGACTGTTTTTTTCGCATCGACAAGGTTGTGTTACACCGTTGCATAGCTTCTATGTCATCTTACACAACAATATAGAAAAAGATGCATCAAAGCAGTGTGTATGACGAAGGTAACTTCAGAGTTGACTACTGCGTGCACATGTATGGTGAACGTTGACTTAAGAAGTGGCAAGTGGCACGCACCAGCCAACCTATGTCTATACTTGCGTGCAATAAAAGGTCATGACGTCACATGATACCGTCATTCTGCCTCGCAGTACTTTTTCTCTCTCTCTTTCTCTCTTTCTCTCTCTCTCTCTCTCTCTCTCTCTCTATCTATCTATCTATCTATCTAGCTATCTATCCATCTATCTATCTATCTATCTATCTATCTCTCGGAGCCCTGGCCCAATTGGCCAAGGCTGTGCCAAACCGAGCACTGCATTGTCTACTAGCAACATTTACAGGCACGGCAGGATGGGCGAAGCGACAGAGGAGTGGTAAGATGGAGATCGCAAGCCGGGTGGGTAGTAGCTTTAGGGAGTAGAGACCCCTTTCTAGGACACACAGCGAGCCCAGATCTGGTACGATTCCTGGGAAATGTTCTTCCAGTTTTTCAGTTCTAAAAACGATGATTTTATTTATTTTATTTTATTTGTCGTCTTGCTTTTTTCGAATCGCAGATTCGACTGGACCTCGTACTTAACACCCGACGGGTGGCGCACAAGGATTTTGGATAGACACGAGTAGACACATGGTTCCTGGAGGACGTTTCGGGAACGGGTTTTTGGAAATTTCGGAAATTTTGAAACTTTGAATTTTGGTTCCACTGTATTTGGAGGTAGTCTGACGCAGGGTACAAACATGACTTAGGAAGGGTAAACGCGAGCTCGAGTCTTGACCGGCGGACTAGTAGTTTCCGTTTTTAGATCTTGATGACGAAGTAGCAAGCTTCTTGGACAGGGGCAGAATGATGGCTAGACGGTTCTTTTGGACAGAGACCGAGATATATAGCGGGAGACATGGCTGGAGTCTTCCCTTTTGAGAGCACAGAGACTCTACTTAGAGTCACCCTCCTGACGATCCCGTGCGGGCGGGTGAAACCGGTTGGGGGATTCCGCATGTTTTGCTCAATTTTGCAGTTTTGCTATGAAACTCGCTATGGTGTTTTGCAAGTACGTGTTCTGATACTTTGCGATCTTCCTGAACTGCACAGACTGTGCTGCCGCAGTCTGCCATCTCGTAGGCTCGCAGTAACCGCCAGCTAGCACGCGCTGCACGGTGGCTGCGTCGACAAGCGGAGTTCAAACTGGTACTATCGGGGTCTGTACTACTCAGTGTACGACAACGATGAGGACAAACGCGAAAGATACACCAATTTGGCAGTCGGTATGACGATATGGTCACGGTGGACTGGCGCGGATCTTCCGCGAGTACAAGGGTTTTGGGACAGTGATCACATGAGACGTGATTGAGGGATGAAGGCGGTCATTTGGTGAATAGATCCGTCGTGATCGATATGAGGAAGGGTGAAAAAACGATCCAATTAGTGCTATTTGGTATAGGGGTCATATGCTTGGGGATAGGTTTGATCTTGGTGGGCGCAGTCGGATAATCGGGAAACTCAAGGGGAGGGGAACACGCGTACTAGAAGGCGATCCACAGTTAGAATGAGATTGATCCAGGCACTCGAGGATTACGTGTGAAACACCATAGAACCGATGCACTTGATGATCGGTTTCCTCAACAATGAGAGTTTGCGATCTGCGCTATATGATATGTTGATTTGTTTGCTGATTAAAATCGAAACTACACTACTTGTGCTGAGAACTAGACGCAGGGTTAGATATCGTGAGATAGTCGAGATTTGGGGAGAATAGATATTCAGACCGGGGCAAGAGGTTGGTGAACGTAAACATCATTAGACTGAATCTATACGCGGAAGTGGATTACGAGAGAATCGGTAGGAGGAAGGAATAACTGACGAATTTTCGGAGGAAGAGACGCACACACCGGAAAATTTTCCTTAGGATTTGCAAGCAAACAATCGGGCAGAAATTTTGAATTCCGGAGACGAGTGGAATCCCGAAATTTTAGTGGTGAAATCCGGAGGTGAGACGGAATACGATACTGATATTCGTATACGGATAATCATTTAACAAGGAAAGGACATTACGATCGGGGTTAGTATACAATAAGTGACGAGTACGTGTGTGGGGGACGTTGGATTAACAGGAATCTGACGTAGTAAGGACACGTGGAAGGGTACCGATTGGAGCGAGTACAGTGATGTTTTTGACAAATGGCCCCGGAGGGGGCGGGCAGGAAAATGGACAAAACGGACAGCTGTACGCAAACGGGAGGATACAAAACGGGGGAGGGAACCAGCAGTACACTGGCCAAAGCAACCCCGGAGATGGAGGAGGACGTAACAGCAGTAGCGGATGTTTTAACTGCGGGAAAATGGGGCATATCGCCCACGATTGCTGGTCAGCAAGGAGGGATAGGGGTTGCGCCCCCCAACAAGGGGACCCAGAGTTGGATGAGATGAAGGAACATTTTAGGCAGATGAGGAGAGAACGACAGGAGATGGAGGAGAAACGACGAAAAGAGGAAGAACGTAAGGCGAAAGAGGAAGAGGAGGTCAGGAGCAATCAAGATTTTGCCAGGAAAGCGAAAAAGTTCAAACTGCAACTTCGCACCGAACTCATAGAGGAATGGAGGAGGAGGACAGCTGAAGCAACTAAGGCAATGGAGAAGATTAGGACACCCAGGAAGATCAAGGTTCTGATACGCGGTGTGAAGAGCAAGCGGAAAGGCAAACAACAGAAGAGGAGGAGAAAGAAGGGAAGGGAGACTTCAGACGAAGATACAGAGGAAGAAAGCGACACGGACGAAGAGTCTACAGACTCCACCACTTCGAAATCGGATTCGGAACCACGGCAAGCGAGGAGAAAGGCAAGGACAGGACGACAGAACAAATGCCCCACAAGTAAACGAGCAAGTACGAAGGGCAAAGGAAGGATTGGGGATACCCCACCCAAAGTTCATGAACTTGGCGAGTGCTCGAGGCAACGGAAGTCGGGACAGACGGAGGGGAGCATGCAGGAGGTGGCAGAGGAGGCGGACGAACCTATGACACCACTTACGGGTGGTTTCAAAGGCCTGTCCGCAGGATGCTCACAGAAAGGACAGATAGACTACTGCATTTTTGCTCATAAGATCTGCTCTGCTAAGAAGGCACATGCCTTAAGGAAGATCTGTGAGAAGAAATGTTTCAAATACACGAAGAAACCTGAAGTCGTGGAGATGTTTGCCAGACAACAAGTTCAACTGGCATATAATAGCTTTGAAGACCAAACGGAGATTGGAAGATCTGCTGGGAAGACGAAAGCTTCTGGCTCTCCGCGGGAGGTGTTTACAAAGGACAGGTCTACATCCGTCAAGCACACGACACGAGCGATACCAGTTATTATTCGTTCGGCAACAGTCCAACCTGCAGACGAACCTGATGAATCCGATTGACAATTAGCGGCCCCTTCTAATGCTGAACTATGGGAGAACCTACACTATTGGTTCACCCAGAGGACAGTGCTCAGGGGGCAGAATATCACCTGAGAAGTGGCACGGAAGGTCGAATGTACTACTGCTACCACGACACTTCTTCTAACTGCGCAGGGACAGATTCCCTGGCTTCTCAAGTACCTGATGAAGACACAAGATTTGAATACCATGCTTCAACTGAAGATCGGTGGAGTGTACGCGATAGTGAGTCTGTGGTCGAAGAAGACTTATGTTGGATGCACAGTGAGACCGATAATACAGAGGTGGAGGGAGCACTCGAGGAATGCACAGAGTGATGCACTAGGACAGACACCCCATCTATACCGCTGGCTACGCAAGTTTGGTATAGATAAGAACTTGATTATACCGATTAGGCACGCTGACAGTTCGGATGACTATGCTTTCGAAAAGCATCTGATTTCAGATTTTTGTCCGAGTCTGAACTCGCGGGACTTGGGGAAAGGAGAGAGGATCGGGAAGGGCAGGAAGAGGAAGGGTAGACGTGAGAGGAAAGGACGGACGAGGCAACTTCACACGGGAACGTTAGTTACGATAGTACACAATGGAGTATCATATGCGTCGATTGTAATTGGTTATCTGATAACAGGGACCTGAAGGATACTACTGTGGAATTCGCAAGTGGCCAGGAACGGATGGAAGGATGGAGGAGACTGAGACGGAGATTGGGGACTCGACGATGGAGATTGGAGGGGAGAATACACTACTCCAGCATGCAAAACTGAAGCTACAACAGGGAGGCGAGATAGTGCTGAAGAAGATCGTGAAGGCGAAGGCGACGACATAACGAAACAAGACCATGCTGACGACAATGCTGAAAAGACCAAGAGCGGACACGCAGATGATCAAGCTCCCGACTAAGAAGCTGATCAAATTGTACAGAACTGTCGGACTCTTCTCGGAGAAACAGACAAAACATCGCCTGCGTACAAAGCTGGACAGGATTATCGCACGGAAGACTGGAGTTAGTGTGAGGAAGCGGGTGAACATAAAGATGCCGTTTGATTCTCGCATACGTAAAGCCGGAGTCAGGGAAACGGCCGAGGACTTTGTGGCGTACCTGGTGAAGGATAAACCGCTGGCCGATTTTGTGAAGACACGAATTCGAGTGTTGTGGCTCCGCAACAAGAATGTAGGGGAGCTGATACACAACCAGAAGAAGTACGCCAGCGTGAAAGAGCATCCCTGCCCTTGAGAGGGCAAGTTACTTTCAAAAACTGAGGGCCACATCCTTTCCAGATTTCGAGATATGGAGGTTCCAGATTTTGTTCGAAATGCGAAGAATGTGACCAGACCGGCGAAAGTAGGGGAGACGCAGACCATCGCTAAGGCTATTTTCGAAGCTACAAGGTATCTTAAATGCAGGAAACTACCGGAGGTCAAACCTGGCGTCGTGTTCACCGGGAGACTGATCGGAGCAGCAGCTTGGACTGACGAAGACGTAAGGAAGTGGGCGAAACAATTCGATGGCCTCGTACTCTCGCCGATTGACAGGAACCAGGGTGACACGACGATCATGTGTCCGGTACTCTATAGGCATGGTTTTGGTAAGACCTTCACATGGAACGCGAATTACGAATCCATGGGAAGTCTCGACGCCGAGGAGACGATCCTCAGAGATAGCAGGGAAGATTTCCGGAGGAGCGGGCTCGGCCACATTGGAAACTGGAAACCAGACGGACATCTGGGGACCTCATATGTGATACCGAAGCATAAGGACCTCACCCGCTCGCGACCTATAGCACCAGCACCGGCTGATCCAGCAACAGTGGCACAACGTAGGATAGCAAGAGCTCTGCATACAGTCCTAAAGAGGCTACCAGCGAATTGTTCTTTCTATCTGAATTCCATTGCGGAATTACCAGAGAGGTTGGAGGCGACGACACAGCGTTTCAGAGCAGCAGGATGTGAAACAGCAGTCGGATGCTGCTACGACATCAAAGAAATGTTCTCCAGAATACCACACAGAGTCGTGGAGCAAGCCGTACATCAACTACTGAAGATCTACGAGGACAAAGGTTGCAAGCAGATCAGAGTTTCCTTACGGGGAAAACTAGGTGTCATCAGCGATAATAAGAGAAAGATTGATGGATACGTAGGCTTGACTCTGAAATTGGTGATGGCAGGAGTCAGATACGACCTTCGACATTCGGTGGTGAGATGCGGGGACAAGTTGGTGAAACAGATATTCGAGATACCGATGGGGAAGTCGACTAGTCCTATCTTAGCTTTGATCACTTGCGCGATGGCGGAACTCCGCTTCATTCAAGAACTCGGCGCTGATAAGAGATTGATTGGATACTAAGAATGAGGATTATCCTGATAACCTCTTCGACGGATTTGAGGAGGTCTATGACCGGAACCTGGAAATCATCCGCAAGGATGAATGTGGTCTGACGTGGTAGTTTGTGGGGGGACAGATGATGATCTGCAGTGAACCATTGCAGATTCACTATGTACCTAACACAAAGAACACTGATTCTTTGCACATGATGAGAAAGTTGATTTTCCAAACTATGCAGGACTTTGGCTCGTATACTGCCAAGAGGGTGAAGAGAGCGGTCCTTACTACTATTCTGAAAAGACTCTGGCATCATACTACGAACAACGAACTCGTCATCGGTGCGATTGGATACGCCATATGTGAGGCCGACCTCCGGGGATACCCCCCGGAGGTCGTTCTCGGAGCCCTGGCCCAATTGGCCAAGGCTGTGCCAAACCGAGAACTGCATTATCTACTAGCAACATTTACAGGCACGGCAGGATGGGAGAAGCAACGGAGGAGTGGTAAGACGGAGATCGCAAGCCGGGTGGGTAGTAGCTTTAGGGAGTAGAGACCCTTTTCTAGGACACACAGCGAGCCCGGATCTTGCACGATTCCTAGGAAATGTTCTTTCAGTTTTTCAGTTCTGAAAACGATGATTTTATTTATTTATTTTATTTTATTTGTCGTCTTGCTTTTTTCGAATCGCAGATTCAACTGGACCTCGTACTTAACACCCGACGGGTGGCGCACGAGGATTTTAGATAGACACGAGTAGACACAGAGTTCCCGGAGGACGTTTCTGGAACGGGTTTTTGAAAATTTCAAAAATTTTGAAACTTTGAATTTTGGTTCCACTGTATTTGGAGGTAGTCTGACGCAGGGTACAAACATGACTTAGGAAGGGTAAACGCGAGCTGGAGTCTTGACCGACAGACTAGTAGTTTCCGTTTTTAGATCTTGATGACGAAGTAGTGAGCTTCTTGGACAGGGGTAAAAGGATGGCTAGACGGTTCTTTTGGACGGAGACCGAGATATATAGCGGGAGACAAGGCTGGAGTGTTCCCTTTTGAGAGCACAGAGACTCTACTTAGAGTCACCCTCCTGACGATCCCGTGCGGGCGGGTGAAACCGGTTGGGGGATTCCACATGTTTTGCTCAATTTTGCAGTTTTGCTATGAAACTCGCTATGGTGTTTTGCAAGTACGTGTTCTGATACTTTGCGATCTTTCTGAACTGCACAGACTGTGTTGCCGCAGTCTGCCATCTCTCTCTCTCTCTCTCTCTCTCTCTCTCTCTCTCTCACACACACACACACACACACACACACACACACACACATATTGTCAAAAAACTTACCACTGAAGCCGAGTGATTGACAAGATGTGTTTCATGGCCATGTGATTGCCATGTGGACAGGAAATGTTGAGGTCGAAACAACGCCAGAACGACACTCTGCACTGGAAGAAGTGGCAAGATAACAAGCGAAAAAATCAGCGTTTTCAGGAATTGTGGAGAAGCCGATTTTGACTGACACTGCAACCATTGTCCATCAGCCGTGACATCTGTTGTATGACGGAGAATGAGGGGTGTTCAGATGAGCGAATCTTACAAAATCAACAAGGGGGTAGATGGCAAGGGTTGTATCATGGGCTCAAAAGCGACGGACAGTTCAGAAGCAGCAAGGAATGACGAACAGTTATGTGGACCAAGTGTTACCGAACCGTTGCTCCCATTGAGCAGTGAGAGATCAGTGAAGCGATGGAAGAGGATACTGGAGGACCCGTGGTATGCGGAAATGTACCAGATGATGACCACAGATGACGTCCAATATACTCAGATGGTGCATGAACCTCTGTTCAGTATTGCAGGGGGCAGTCGGTCGAGAGGTATGGCTGCAGAGGCTGGAAAGAGGCCCGAGAGGGTGGACGAGGAACACTTGTTCCCGTTCACGTAGAAATCAAGAAGACACGCCATAGCGATAACGAAACGGGACGTATTGCGATTGGGAGCGAAGCAATGGCTGAACGACGTCGTTATCGATATGTACTTACAGTCCGTCTATGAAGAACATTTTCCTGCACAGGACAACACGACACTTCATGTTTGTAGAAGTTTCTAGCATCCCGCAGTCGTCGCCAATCAGAAGGTTTATGTCGCAAAAGCAGGATGGCAGGAGTGGATCAAGAGTAGACCTGCAAAGCTGCGTCGAATAAGCAATGAACTGCGAAGGACACCTGTTGTTCTCATCCCTGTGAATCACAAAAACCATTGGAAATTGCTCTTGTTACTGAATGTTAGTGGGTTTTTGGTAGTCACGGAGGACAATGATGGACACAAACAACCTCTGGCAATCGTCATGGATTCCTTTCAACAGAGCGGCCGATAGGAATGGAAGGCGTTGCGCACATTTTTGTGGTATGAATACCTCAACGAGGCAGACAAAGCAGGGGTGTTGACTTCTGAGACCGTGGACATGTCGTGGGTGACATGAAGAGATCTACTTGGATCTAACATAGATATGCGGAATGTTCGCAACAGACCAATACGTCGGACTGTGGTGTTTCTGTTTGTTGCGTGGCAGCTGAGTTGATGCGAAAGCTAGCAAACGTGACTAAGGGAACGAACATAACCGCAAAATATATAACAGAAGTTGTTAGCGCGATGGACATCAACGAACGAACGGTCAAAATATTTCGGCAGTCAATGGTACAACGCTTTGCGCAGTGTGCTACAGTGGCAAAAGGATATAACACCGCAGCAGCGTGTAACATAGAAAATGTCTTCAGAGATCTCATAGACGGAACACGGAGTGGAAGTTCGTAATTACAAGGGGATGATAGAAACCCAGCATCGAAACACGAAGTTGACAATCACGTGCAATTATACAAAACTCACATATCGTAGAGAAGCCAATCGGCACGCAGTAGGCTAGTAGCCAACTTGTGCATGTTACTTGATGGATGAATGCGTGATGTATCATAAAAAAAAAATGTCGTCTTTCATGTCACAACGGCAAAAAATGTTCGACTCTCTCTCTCTCTCTCTCTCTCTCTCTCTCTTTCTCTGCGTGTGAAAATCTCGCCTACGGTGGCGGAAAACAAATGGTCGTTCCATGTGCCAAAATCATTCCATGTCTAACGTGAGTGTTTGTGAATTCGTGCATGTCAGAAGTTTTTCATAAGGCTGAAGAGAATGGCTCCGAAGCCAGGGTACGAGGATCTGTGCAAGTCTTTGAAGTCCACAGGGAGGAGGGAGAAGGGAGAGAGGACAGCAAAGGAAGACAAGAAGACAGTCAAGCAAAGACATAGCATAAGGGATATTTCACAATTCAAGAGACAGGATACGAACACAGTCCGCAGGACAGAAGCAGTGCTCTCTGTCTCCCCGCGGAAAAAGCAGAGGGTGAAACTGGTTGAACACAATAAATCACCTGTCGCGAGTCCCTTGCGGTAAAAGAGACACGGCGACAGCGAGAGGCAGCCCCCAAGAGCGCCAGAGAAGAAACGACGAGAAGAAAAAGCACAGCTGCAACAACAGAGGACAAAAAAGAGAATAATATACAGAAAAGACAGGACTCCTGGAGCAATCGACCTCAGAGGGTCATACGATT